TAACACCAGCAAGGTGTCGAAGATCTACCCGCTGCCGCACATGTACGTGGTCAAAGACCTGGTGCCGGTGAGTATCCAAGCCGCAGGGCTGGGCCATATGGACAAAAAATTATCACCATAATTATCACCATAATTTTTTCCATATCAGTCGATATCGATAATTATCACGATAAATGTCCAATTTTTTATTTCTTTCGAGTTTATTTCTTTTGAGTTTTTTTGGTGATATGGACAAAAAAAATTATCACGATAATTTATTAATATCAGTCCATATTGATAATTATCACGATAAATGTCACATTTTTAACGATAACGATAATTATTTCTTTCGAGTTTTTTGGCGATATGGACAAAAAAAATTATCACGATAATTTTTCCCATATCAGTCTATATAGATAATTATCACGATAAATGTCCAATTTTTTTATTTCTTTCGCGTTTATTTCTTTTGAGGTTTTTTTGGTGATATGGACAAAAAAATTCTCACGATAATTTTCACGATAATTTTTTCCATATCAGTCAATATCGATAATTATCACGATAAATGTCATTTTTATTTCTTTCGAGTTTATTTCTTTTGAGTTTTTTTGGTGAAATGGACGAAAAAATTATCACGATAATTATCACAATAATTTATTCATATCAGTCCATATCGATAATTTTAATGCTTTTGAGTTTTTTTTTTTTGCAAAATGGACCAAACAATATCACGATAATTATCACGATACTTTTCATATCAGACGATGTCGATAATTAATCAGTCCATATCGATAATTTTAATGCTTTTGAGGTTTTTTTTTTTGCAAAATTTATCACGATAAATGTCACATTTTTATTTCTTTCGAGTTTATTTCTTTTGAGTTTTTTTGGTGAAATGGACGAAAAAATTATCACGATAATTTTTCATTTCAGACGATATCGATAATTATCATGATAAATGTCAAATTTTAATTTTTATTTCTTTGAGCCGAGCGGATAAACGCTCCGTGTGTTTCAAGTGAGTCGCGCTGTTTCCTTCCGCTTTTTGCGTGTAAACATTATATCGAACATTTATCGAACTCTCCTTATTATAATATATTATATTGTGATAAGTATTGTTAAGGGTGAGCGATATATACAGTCTGCGATAATATCGTAATTGTTGTTTTAACGATGTGCGATTTGACATTATCGAGTATTTGGCAAAAACCTTTCAAATCATGAATCAACTGTTTAAATGATTCGGTTCAATCACAATGAATCGCTTATTAACAGTGACTTGCTGCCACCTGCTGGCGGTTTTAATTTCACATTTAAAGAGCTGCATTAAACAGTGTGTACTTCAGATGCAACTTCTGCAAAGATGAATTTTGTTGAAACGGATTTAATTTGCTTGGTAACAGCCCAAATGTCTTATTATTCTAATTCACTGATTAAATGTAACAATTTGACTCAAAAGATCATGCAAACTTTCACAAAAATGGCTTTATAAAGGTAAAAATGCCCATTAAAAGGTAAAAATCTATTTAAACCTATTGGAAAAGATGAATTTCTATAACCATCACACAGAATATGAAGTATATTCATGGTAACTGTTCATGGTAGTTCTTAAGATAACAGCACAATAACACACTCAGCAGAATATCGTCTAATTATCGTTATCGTTATAATATCATTTTTATCAATATTGCTCACCCCTAGCTTCAATCGAGTCGCGCTGTTTCCTTCCGCTTTTGGCACGTAGCCATTATATCAAACTCTTGTTATCGTTTTATCTGGAACAATTATACATCGTTATGGATTTATCGCCCAGCGCTAGTGTGAACGCTGTCCGTCTCCTGCAGGACATGAGCAACTTCTACGCTCAGTACAAGTCCATCGAGCCGTACCTGAAGAAGAAGGACGAGTCCAGACAGGGACAGCAGCAGTACCTGCAGAGCGTGGAGGACCGGCAGAAACTGGTAGAGTAACCGACACGTGTGAGTGTGTGTGTGTGTGAGTGTGTGTGTGTGTGTGTGAGTGTGTGTGTGTGTG